GGGACTGGGTAGCTCTGCTCCGAAAGCAAGGGAGCCAAGCACTTCTCTCTAAGAGATGCCAAGAATCTTAGAATCTCAGAATTTTGAAGCTGGTTTAACACTCAGTAAACTGCAGCTCAGAGAGGACAAGTCACTTTCCCAAGGTCACACAGAGAACATACGGCCTGGCTAGGACGAGAACTAAACTAATAAGAATACCCAACAACGTGCCAAAACAGGTGGTCGGGACCCCAGCGGGGGTCAGGTCTGAGAGCGGTACACACAGTGACCCACAGGCTGAGCCAGAAGGAAAGTCACTGTGACACTGGGGCTCAGGGGGCAGTTCTGTGCCAGTGCCCACCTAGGCATCTCATGGATGTTACTTAGTTTTTTACATTTACTGTCACTACGAGCTATAGTACCCATTATTATCCCTGTTTTGCTGATATGGAAACTGAGGCACAGTATAGATAATGTCCCCAAGGTCTCAGAGCTAGAAAGAGCAGAAGCTAGAATACAACACAGGTCTGTTGGGCACCAATGCCTGAGTTCTTTCTGTCCAGCCCTGCTCATTCCCAGGCTGGAGACCAGTCCACCATATTAGGCCTCTCTTCCTCCCTGCAGACTCTGAGTCCATGGTCCCTGGAAGTACACAAAACACACCAGCACCCCAAAACAACACACGCATGCACACACACACACCCATACTTGGCTCACTCTGACCTGGTGGGGACCTGCTAAGGCAGGAAGATGGCCGAGCCCATTAACGCAACCAAGCACAACACATATTTATGGCCCCAATTACAGCCTTCACCTCCCCCCGCCACCAAGGAGCAGGAATAGCGACAGGAATAGTTGTGTGCAGTGGGGTCTGAGGCCTCTGTAGCAATAACTACAAGATTACAGAGACGTTAGCAACCCCTGGTGACGGCGGCACTATTATAATGATAAATCTACGGCTTTATATAGAAATAATGAGACTGGGGGCAGAACGGGGGGAGGGAAGAGCAGGGGGATTTCAGCCAATCAAAGTTCTGGGTGGAGGGAAAATGGCAAGCCACTGGGAATGCCCAGGAGACCACCAGGGGCCATTAGTCAAGCCAGGCAGGAGTGGGGCAACAAGAGTGTGAGAAGCAGCCCTGCCTGGGGCCAGAGTGGATTTAATGAACTCCCATGATTTCCTTCCCACTCTGAGCTCCTTGACTCCATGGAACAGAAGAGGCCTCCAATGGCTCTAGCATGTCCAAGTTGCCTGCTTCGCACCCTCCAGCCTGCTGGTGGGTATACTACCTCCATTGCTCCCTAGGCTTCCCTCCAGAGCAACCTGGAGGCGGTGAGGCCAATGTCCCTTGTGGCTTAAGATTTTCAATTAACCAAGAGCTAGACTCCCGGGATGTACACCTCTCCTTCACTAGCCTTGAAGCTTCTAATTCAGGGGTTATGAAACAACAGGGATCCTCCAGGCTTTGCTACTTCAAACCAACTTGAGCCATGGGGCTGGAGCTAAAGCAAGGGACATACCCGGTTCCACCTGCCAGCACTGAATGCGATGCTCCAATACAAGCACAAGGACCAACAAGGGGACAGCATTCATGGACTCATGTGACCCCAAAGCAGCTTGCTGAGCCCCTGATTCTCACAGCGCCCGCCTCTCCTACTTAGCCTGTGGGTCACTGACCCTCCAGTTCAATCCGGACTCTCCGATCCAACTGGTTAATCAGTTTGCCACCATACCTCTGAAGGAATGCACAGGCTGCCTCTCTCCCCACCAAGCCTGACTCTACCGGTTTTCAAAATACTATTTGACCTTCTCCTCCAGGAAGCCTTCCCAGGTTATAACCACACACTATTCCCACTGCTTCTTTAATAATTCTTTCTTTGTGTATCCATATATAGTCTTAATTGAATTAACTAAGCCGTTGGTCATTCTACAAAAATGTGCTGGATTCTTATGTTTGTTTTCAATGACACACTCAGCCTGGAGGAAAAACACAAGAGAAAGTCAAATGTGGGACAAAAGGCATTCCTGAGCCATTGGGAGGACTTTGCAAGACTAAAGATGATTCAGGGTATAACTCAGAGACACAGGAATAAATCCAGAGGAGCGATTTCTGGAAGAGCAGAAGGGCTCAGGGAACTTTGAAAGGGGGATTGGTTTGGGCCAGGCAGAGCAGTGCAGAAAGGCATGCGTGACAGGGGGAGCCCTGTGAGCAAAGGCAGGAGGCAGGAATGTCAGGCATGCTTCGGGGACCAGCCTGCAGGACAGTGGAGCTGCCAGAGTTCCAGGCGGAGTGGGGCCCAAATGCAGCTCTAGGAATGGAATCCAGCACGAGGACAGATGGGAGCCCCTGTGCTCATCCCTACCGCCCCCACCACGCTGGCCGCAGGATTTCACATGCACTCAGTGCTCAACATTCTCAGGGACTAGGACTTGGGCCTCTCTGGCCCCCAAATAAGTATAATTTCAGAGTCAGTGCCAAAAAAAAAAAAAAAACAACAGGTAAAAGCACCCACCTTATTTCCCTTTCCCCTCCTTTGCCCGGTTCCTCGCCCACCAGGAGGATGAGCCTACTCCTGAGAGCCAACCCACCAGAAGAGCTGCGGACTGGAGGGCCCCAGGGACCTCCTGTTGGCAGAACATCAGCTCAGACAGACTGCAAGCAAGACAGGATGTGTGAGCACAGTCACCTGCTCCTCGGCTTCAGAAACTCCTGGGCCCAGCCTCCCTGTGCTCCCAGCTAGGATGCTAGCCCCTCTTCTGTCACGCTATATATACCACCCCTCCCCACCTATCTGAATTCTTCCCCACCCGGGGAAAATTCCAGGGCTGCCCTAACTCTCAATAGCAACCTCACACAGTGCACACTATTCACTATTTAGCATTACTAGCACCTGCATGGACGTCTCTTGTCTCTGGAATTAGATTCTAATTTTCTGTGGATCAAGGAAGCTTTTATCGCCGTCCCGCTCACACCCCAGTGCCTGGCACAGTGTTCTGCTCAGGAGGAGAGGGTGGAGGACTAGAACAGTACTAGCTGAGGATGATGAGGATGGTGACGATGTGTCCAACACCTTTTGGATGATCTGCGTTTTTCTGAAGCTGGGCTGAGGAGGGGGATAGGACGAGGAGAGGGACAGCCACAGCGTTCTAGCACCTAGGAAGTTGGCCTCCCTGTGAGGAGCCCGCTTAGACACCGACTGTCCAATCCAGGCTTGGGTCTTCTATCGTGCCCTCAGCTAAGGTTGCAGGAGAGGGAGGGGAGTCCTCAGAGTCTGAGTCAAGCTCTGTTTCCCCAGCCCCTGGCCTCGCCTCTCCTGCTCTTGGAGCCCCTGGGCCTTGACCTCCACGTGGGGAGGACCGGGCTGCTTTTCTCTACCTGTGCAGTCCCCATAATGAAGCTGCTGCCCGAGGAGAGCACAAGGGAAGAGCTGCACCAGATGTAAACTTCACAGTGATTTATAGAGCAGAGCTCTTGGGCCTGGGCCGGCGCTCAGCTGCTGCGCCATCCCTCCCTGTCTGCCCGCCCCGTCTGCCCGGCCTCGCTGCTGGTCCTATTCTTGGGGATTTCATGGAAGCAAAGGTCGGGGAGGCACTGGGACATCAGACTGAACTGGTCAAAGTCAGGACCAGCTCGGAGAACGGGGTGTCCCTGAGACCCGCCCTGGGGCCGAAACGGAGCCCACCAAGCTTTGAACAAATCAAGTTTCTTACTACACTTTTCCCATCAGAGCAGGCGGGATGATTTTCCTGGCCTCTCTCCTCACAAATTCAACACAGAGATATTGAGAATTGACTGTTGAAAGGGAGGGCCTGCAGACTGAGCGGGGTCATCCCCACCCCAGAGAAACAGTGCAAGAAATATCTGGGGAGACTCAACCAATTAGCACTCAAGACCCCAGACACAAGGCCGTTGGTGTCTGATGGGAACACCCATGCTGGGTTCTCAGCTGCCTGGATGGGCTTAGTGAGAGGTACGCCCACACCTGTGGGATCTACACTGGACCAAAGGGCTCTGGAAACGCCCTCTTAATTCTCTATGCCAAACCTGTCTTCCCCCTGAAAAGCCAGCTCGAGCCTCAGCTCGTTGAAACCTTCCCTGGTTAATTGCAGTTGATCGTGAACAGCCAAGCACCTCCTGTCCCATGTGTGGATTAGTCAGGTATCCTTCCAGGCTGCCCTGGGCAGGGAATGCCTCAGAGAAGGGGCTGTGTGGTAGTCACTCGTGTTGGTCATTAAGTGTTTCCAGTTCTCCTTCTGGGCATCCGGTAGGATTTCTTTGCCCTGCCCTCCTGAGTTGCCACGTGTCTTGCTTTGGCTAATGAAACGCAAGTAGAAGTAACAAATATCCCTTCACTGTGGAAGCTTTAAGAAATAGTGCATGACTTGCCACATCCCCTTTCTCCTGATGTTGTAACTATGGGAGCACATGTCCAAACGAAGCCTCTGTCGGCTCAGACCCCTGGGTCACAAGGTAAAGTAGAACCCCAGGCAAGCTGCAAAGCATGGCTAGCAGGAGCGAGAACTAGATCTTGGTTGCTCTAAGCTACCAAATCCTAGGATTATTTGTGGCCGCAACTTAACCTCATTCATCCTGATTAACATGCCCCGTTCCTGATTGCTCTTTCCAGGCTTCTAGTACACATCAGTGCACTTGGTAGATACTGCTGTCTGATTCAGTCTAGAGACCTGGCCCAATCCTCACCCATGATCAAAGAGATAGATAACATTATTTTATAGGTGGTAGACCTAAGGCCTAACAGGTGGAGGGAACCACCCCGGAATATGTAATCAGAAGCAATGGACAAAAATTCTCTTCCATGCCAACCCACACCCCAACCTGGGGCAGCGTGCAAGGACTTCCCCAGGGCGGGCTGAGCCACTGCTCAGTTCCCAGAGTCCCCCTTCACATCCTGAAGGGCAAAGGCCCACTTGTCTCCAAGGCAGAGGAGGATAGGGCCACACCCCACTCAACCCGGCCCTAGGAATCCTCAAGAAGCCCAGGAGGCAAGGCTGTACTCACACTGGTGGCATACTGGATGTCCTTCCAGATGGAAGTTTCCCGGGACAGGTCGGAGGCCTCGAAGAGGTTGTCCAGGATGACCTCTCCGATCATGTCATGGCGGGAGAAGCGGTCGAAGTCGAAGACACTGAGATGTAGCTTGCGCTCGGCCAGCTCCTCGTAGGGCACCGGGAAGTGGAAGTTCTCATCGAAGGTGGGGTTCAGGGTCTTGCGGTGCACCCGGGTCTGCAGCTTGCACTTGCGATCAGGCAGGAGGTAGATCTTGACGTAGGGGTCAGAGCTGCCACAGAAGTCCTTGGCAGGGAGGTCGAAGGCCTTCAGGATGCGCACGATCAAGGTCTCGCTCTCGTAGTCGTAGCGCAGGCTGAAGTTGATTTTCCCGCAGCTCTTGGCAGCCTCGGACTTGGCATCGTCCCCATCCACCGACTTCTGCTTGTAGAGTTCAGGCTTGATTCGGCCAATGCTGGTGGGCTGTTCTGCCGCCGGCGGCAGCTCGTTGCCGTAGTCCACGCTGGAGACGTGCATCTGCCGTGGCAGGTGGCGCTTGAAGGACGTGTGCCTGGCGGGGGCGGGGACAGCGTGGTCAGGGCCCCGGCGGCGGGGCGTGCAGGCCGACACTTCCCCGCCACCCTGGCTCAGCCTACACTTTGCGGGGCCCTGTTCCTCCTGTTCGCCGACCCTCTCTCCATCTGCACACACCTGGTGCACTGGTGATTCTGAGCATTACAAGTCTACGGAAAGGAGTTGGAATGGGGCCCGGTATATACTAAGGTCAATTCATGGTAGCCTTTGCTGCCATTTTTTCCCCCTGCTTTCTGGGTTTCTTTCCTTGTAGAGGTGACTCTGGTTCCCCCATGAAACCACGAGATCCCTTAGGAGAAGGACCATCCTTTCTCCCCCTGGCTGTGGCTGTCCCCTCATCATCATCACCAACTCTACCACCGACACTGTAGTTAAACATTTACTGGGCTTGGGAGCCAGACTGTGTAGGTTAATGTTGGCTCTGCCACTGTCTGGCTATGTGACCTTGGTCAAGTTACTTAACTTCTCTGCGTTACAAAATGAAGATAATAAAAGTAGCAATTGCATAGGATTGCTGTGAGGAGGAACCGGATTCATACACATAAAAAGCACTTAGAACAGGGCCAGGTGTATAGTAAGGGACATATCGTCCACTCTGGATTGTCAAAGAATCCAGCTCTGATGGATTCCTTCCTTGGCTCCTCACAGCAACCTGATGAGCCACTAGCCCTATTTTACAGTCGGGAAAAGCGAGGCCTAGGAAAGGTGAGCAACTTGCCCGAGGTCGTATGATAAACTCTGAAAATGTGACCCCCAGCACGTTCATTCCTGGACTCCCAGCTGAAGACCTGGTCTCCTTCCCTTCGGCTGGTTCCCCGGGAGCCTGGGGAGACATTGCAGGGACCCAGGAGCCCACAAGAGCCCTAGGTTTGAATAAATACGAGTGAATGCACCACTTCTGTGTCTGAATTTAGAGAAGGTTGTTTGTTATTATGCGGTGGCAGTTGCTTTTGGTTTTCTCCATTAAAGAATGCCATGTATACAACTGCTGTCCTTCAGGGGACTCTGTCAAAGGTTATAAAGGAATCCTCATTCCTCAAAATGTTAGGAACCTCTTGTCTTATATCCCATGAACGGCCGACTCTATCGACAAGGCTTTATTGGCGTATCCGTAGACACACCATGAACTTTTATGCCTCTGGGACTTTACATATTCTCTGCCCTCTGCCTGCAATCTCTCCTTCTCTCCAAACACCCAACACCTCCCACCCACGTGCATCCCAGTGCACACCATGGAGCACAGTGCCCCACCTCCAAGGTTCCCCTCTCCTGCAGCCTTTCCTGGTGCCCACCTCCTGGTTGGTTACCCACCGTGGAGCACATCGTCTGTTATATTCTCCAATCAGAGGACATGAGTTATTATTTCTGTCGTCTGCTCCTCACGGGCTGGACTCTCTCAATGTCTTGAGTAAGAGAATGTGGAGGCGTGGCGGGGAGGGAAGGGAGAGGTCCACCCTCACCTGGTAGATGATGCTGGCTCTGTGGTCTGTCGCTGCAGCCGCGTGTGACGCATGATATGCTCCTTGACTGACATCTGCACCTCGGCTGGGATATCTGGGGACGTGTGGCTGATCTTCACAGCCGCCTCTAGGAAGCCCAGCGTGTTGGTGTCCTTCAGCTTGTCTGCCATGTTGCTTCTGGAGCCGGGGCTCTGGAGGGCGTCCGGGGGAAGGTTAGCAGAAGCGGGACTGGAGGCCTCCTTGCTCCTCCAGGGCATCCAGCACAGCTTCCAAAAGAGAAAGAGAAAAACTGCCACCAGGGCCACGCCACACACAATCACTATGGCTGCGAGGAGGCTGACGGAGGTGCCTGCCCTCGGCGTGAGCCAGGCAGGGAGGGACAGAGACAGACAGAGGTGGGCAGAAGCAGGAGAGGGTGTCGGCAGAGGGGGCACACAGAAGGGACAAAGACGGGAGAAGAGAAAAGAACGCTCATGAGAAAAGCTACCCGCCAGAGGAGAGGTGGTTTTGGGGGGTGGCGCTCCGCAGTCCACTTTGTGAAATGTCTGCAGCCGGGCGCTAGCCTCCGCCGGTCCCCCCACCCCCGCCCCCCGCCCCCACTGCCAGCTTGGGAAGCACCTGGGCTGCCTCCCTGACTGCCTGTCGGCATGTGCACCGGGAAGGGAAAGTAATTTAAATAGCAGCCTAAGCAAATGTGCAAATTCGTGAAGCGTTCACATTTGGATGCCGTTTGAATTTCTATTAGAGCTGTTACTATGGCCAGACTTAGAGCAGAGTCATTTTTTGTATATAGCTCTCTTCCTCAACAGGCTGTGTGGCCTTGGGGACCAGAGGCTTGGCCAACTCCATCTCTTCCTGTACCCGACCCCCCGTGGAGACCAGAGCGGGAGCTCAACGGTCACGAGCTGACTTGAAGTGAATGAGAGGCAGGGGTTAGGTCTCAGGCTTCTTCTGGACTCTCAACTCTGCACGCAGTAGGCTCAGTAGATACTGGGATGAAGTCGGAATTCGACCCACCCAATTTATTTCCAAGCTACATACAAGTGATTCCTGTAGCTGGCTTTTCCCATTCCTGTGGCCAGTTGAGAGATTTTCTGTAAAGTTGGTATTTTGAACATTGTGGTTGGTTCAAGGCGGGGGCTCACTGCCTTGTCCCCAGCCCAACCCTGCCCCCCAGCAGGATACCTGTGATCCCAGGAGAGCTGTGGGGGATGCCTCCCTCTGGAAGAAATGATTAGACAGATCTCCCACCCCAACCCCTTTTGGAATGACCCTTAGAGCCCAAAGCATCCCCTCCTTCTGAGAGGTCAGAAGCCTCCGAACCAACGGCACACGTGGTGGGGTGTGCACTAAGGTCAAGCCCGCAGAGGAGTCTTACATGGCTAGGGTGACAATGGAAAAGTTGAGAAATTCCATCACCATCATCATCATCACACCAAATTCCTGGAAAGTCTGGAAGAGGCCAGGTGACTTGGTAACTGGACCTGGGCTCCTGTGCTCCCTTTGGAGGGGTGTGTCCTCACCAGTCTCCCTATTACTTTCGTGGCCCCTGCAGGCCTGTGGGTTTGCAGGCTCTGGATTATCCTGGCCCAGTGTCCCAGGAATCTTCAGATTTAAGGTGAGAAATGACCCTACAAGTACTGAGGCCAGGCTGTGCTTTTGCAGACAAGAGCAGTGGTCCAGAGAAGGGACTTGCCTGGGGTCACAGGTCAGACAAGGAGCCTGGACCAGAGTCCAGATGCCCACCACCCAGACTGGGGCTCATTCCACTGTCCTGTAGCCTGTTTGTTCCTGATTAAACTGAAGGCTATTATAACCCTGCATTTTTATATTTGTCTGACTCAGGGCCTAGCACAGAAACTGGCACATGAAAATGAATGAGCAAATGAGGTGAATGAATGAATGAATGAATGGCATATAAAAGAGCTATAATTATCTCTCAACCAGCATTTACTGAGCACCTGCAGGTACCAGGGGCTAAGCTAGGCTTGCAGTATCGAGATGCCAAGTCCCTCCTGGGAGGAATCCAGAGTATTCTCATAGCACACAGGCACCAGGGAAAGCTGCCTCCCATCTAGAGGAACCTGGGAAGGAGGTGAGAACATCAGATACCTTCTCTGGGGAGCTGGCACTGCCTTCTGACTCCCTGGCTGCAGGGTCCTGGCCTGGATCAACTATCACAGCCACCCACGGCTACCCTAGGCCCCTGCACAGAGACAACGGAACCTCTCCCCGGCCAAAGGAGCTGGGTGGGATTAGTCCTTCACCTAGGGACTGCCAGGGATCTGGAAAGCCAATTCTAAGTTCACTTCTAAACTAAAGGTCTCTAGTGTGGTATGTGTGCATTCTGGGGGCACAAGAGAAAAAATATCAGATCGCTTTCCTATTTATTTATTATCTTAAAAACAATAAATGAGAGTTGCAATATACTGGTTGATAGTAATAGAAATGATAGCATTTTATTTCTGGACTTACTTAAGTTTTGAACATTACGAGGTCCAAGGTACAAAGTGATTTTTATGCATTCGCTCGTTTAATATTCTCCAGTGAGATAGGTGTGATTATTATTTTCATTTTGCAGATGAGGAAGGTGAGGCACAGAGGATGAGATTGCCCGGGGTCACACGGCTGGTAAGCCATGGAACGGAGATACAACCCACATGTGTATGTAACACGGGAACCAATATATATTGGAGGCATTAAATCAAATAATTTGTGCTGTTACGAGTTCATTATCTAAACGGTTTGGAGACTGTTTCTGTAGGCCCTTATACCCCTGGGGTTCACGAGGAAAGCTACCACAGATAGTCCTTATTCTAAGTATCCAACCATCTCTAGACCCTTCACATCTGCTCTCGGTTACAGCTGTTCTGGATGCATTCTCTACAATATGAGTCACCTTAAAACAAAAAGGTATTTCTAAGGCTTTGCTTTCCTTTGATCATACATCTTACTTGCTGTGGTAATAATTAGAATTTTAATGAGAAAGGGGGAGAAATAGGGGGAATCCAGAGAGCATAGAGTACATTTAAATGTTCAGCCTGACAAAAAACTGAATTCATAAATGAAAAGAGAGGTGGGGGGAGGGGGCAGGCAGAGGGAATCAGTTTTCCTCGCTATGGCTGCTATTTTGAATGCTTGTGCACGTGCCCCCCCACCGCCCGCCCCGCTGTCGTTCCCTCGGAGCTGAGATTAGGGCAGGCAGAGGTATGGATTATTGGGAATCAGCACCCAGCGCTCAATACTGGTTATGTAAGACCAAGTGGCCCTTCCTCTGCCTGGAGAATCCCTTTCCAGGACACCCCGCCCACAGGTAATACACGGAGATTTGGGTCCTGTTGCTGAGTGGATTCACCCCCACCGGGGAATGCAAGGCAGTGAGCAAGGCTGGTAAAGAGCAGAATTAGGCCAGGGCAAAGGTGACTGTACAGAATTTAGCCCCTATAAAATCACTGCATGCAGCCTTGAATGCAGCCAGCCCGCATAGCCCGGTTAAAGGTGCACCGGGGCTGGGAAGGATAGGTTCTTGTATGGTCTAAGGGCTCTGCCAAGGGCCAGATCAGCTACGAAGTGTGCCTTCCTACCCCAGGCCTGCTGGGACCAACCCACCAGGACACGTTGCCCTCTACCAAATCACAAGTGCATGAGTTGCCCTCAAAGCCTTTTTCCCACTAGTCTTGTTTGAACCTCGACACTGTGAGGTAGATCGAATTTTGATGGGCAACTCAGCCACCTTTTGTGTCCTGATCCAGTACTCTTCATATTTCACACTGCTATCATGCACTAGCTTCGTGGCAAGAGAGAGGCAACCCTCTGGTAAGGGAGAAAACCCTTCCCAAATCTTTGTATTCTTCCTCCTTCTCTTCTTCCTTCTTTATTTCCTCTTCAGCCCGGAAAGAATGAATCAGTGCCCTCGGGTCAGACTGGGCTCCTTCAATGTTCATCTCCACTGACTTTCAACTGTGTGACTTCAGCAAGCTACTTAATCTCTCAAGCCTCAGTTTCCTCATCTATGATATGGGTATAATAATAGTATCTACCTTCTACGGTTATTGTGAGGTTTCAGTGAGATCAAAAGTGCCAGGACAGTGCCTGGAATGTAGTAAAAAATAAGATAAATATTAGCTGTTTCTATTAGAATCACTTAGTTCTGCCCAGTCTAGTTTTGAATATTCCCTCGTTTGGAAAAGTTTGGTTGGCAGAATATCTGCAGGCCACGAACACTAATAGAGAGAGCTTTAACTTTGTCATTACAAATGAGGAATGACCTTACTAGCAGAAAGAATATAAGTATTTTATATATAGCTACATGTCAAGACATAATATGTACTATATTAAAGATCTCTCATCTCTGAGTTTTTCTGTCAATACCCATTTGCTTGTTACTCGTCCAGTTTCGTTGTTACCATCACTAGCCATCTGGTGAACAGGAGTGAGCTCCAAAGGAGTGAAAAGAAAATCATGAAAGAAAAATCAACAATTGAGAGAACATGCTATGGTTTTGCAAAGTTCTCTTGGAAATTTGGAAAAAGGAAGTCCAGTCCATTACTCAACATTAGGTGTGAAACATCTTTATTCAGGTGTCAGAAGAATCCAATATTCCATGGGCACCCAGTTTGGGAAATCATATTGGCCAATTACCCAGCAGCCTCTGGGAGAGCAAAGAGCTGTGCAGCTATGCTTTGGATACACACCCAGCGAGCTGGCATTGCTCAGGGGCATGTGGCTTCTAACCCTGGCGGGGGACGTAGACTTCACTTAGTGTTCAGATACTAGGAGGGTAGCTCAGGTGAGCACCAGCACCAGAATGACCACAGAGCGCATCCAACCACATTTCTAATTGCGTGACCTTGAGCAAGTTACTTAACATTCTCCAAACTTTGGTTTCCTCTTTGATTTGATGGGGATGCTAAGGATTCCTACTTTACGGAGTCATTATGAATATTAAATGAACTAAGACTTTGGGCATAGTTCCTGGTACGTGGTAAGTGCTCCCCAAATGTAAGCTATTTTTCTTCATGTGTTGCTTTTTTTGATGGCAAATAATACAGAATGGACCCAAAACTGGGCCCTCTGAGACGGGAAGGGGGACGCCAGACCATGGGGCAAGGCAGCCAAGAGACCTCAGGCCCACAAGGGCAGGAACTGCTCATCCCCTTCAGTGAAACTGTCTGGCAGGGGTAATGGCTCCTGGCCTCCCTCTCTCCCTGGAAAATGCTGGGTTATTAATTAGCAACCCAGGGCTTTCTTATCTCTCCACACTGACACTCCTTTCTCCAAAGACAGCCCTGGCACCCCCTCCCCTTGTCCCCACCCAGAGTGTTAGGATTCATCAGCAGCTCTTATCAC